TGTGTGTGTGTGTGTGTGTGTGTGTGTGTGTGTGTGCGTGTGTGTGTGTATGTGCCCAAAATCCCAAAAGGAGAGTGGAAGAGAAGGGACTGCAGCATGGCCATCCCCCCAGGGGATGGTTTTTTACTTTCAGTCTCTGTCTCTGGCGAGCACATGCACCCTATAGCAAGAATCTCTCTTAGAAAAGAGAAAAGAAAAACAGAAAACAAAAGAAGAGAGGGGAAAAAATTAAAGGATAAAAGAAAAGAAAAAAAGAGAAGAAAAGAAAAGGGACATGCTTGGGACCAGCCTATGGCTTGGCGATTACATAAGCAGAATCCCACGTAGCTGCTTGAGAGACACGCTTAGTGCATGCATATCCATACTTAAGATCCCAAAAGGAGGGAAAAATGGAGGAGGGATCGCAGGGTTACTAACTCCACCACGGGGAGGCATACTTCCTTGTTCCCCTGCCCTACCCCTCTCTAGCAAGCACTCTGGCTAGCCTTTTTTTATTTTTTTTTTTAAAAAGGACATTCTCGGATGCCCTTGCAGTTTTTTGTTTATTTATTTATTTAGAGAGAGAAAGTGAGAAGGGCATCCCCACCAGTGTTTTCACGCAGCGATCTACCCCTAACTTCAGCCAGCCCCCAACCACGCACATGCATGCATGCCCGCTGCACAGGGAGACCTCAGGACATGAACCCAGCACCTTCCCATGTGAGTTCAGCTCTGCACACGTTACAGCACTGCTGTGTCCCCACAGCTGCTCCTGTGTCCTTATGTTTTAATGAGCCAATAGTGTTCATGTGAAGAAGGAATCGTTTGGGGGACTCCACTTTGAATGGATAGGTTGGACCACGCTTACAGAAACTGCCTATCTAAGGGCCCTGCCTTCCTCATGCTGTAGTTCAAGGCTGTTTCTTGCCAGAAGAAAGAATACAGAAGGCACAGTCCCCTCCTCCAGAATGGGGCTACAGCTCTGCTCAGCCAGGAGACTTTTTTCCTAATTTATCCAACTCAGAGATAGTTTTTTATACTAATGTCTTAGATGAACTGGCTGTGACCCTAATAGTTTTCAAATATTTCAGAATTATGTAAGACCTCCCTTCCACATAACATCTTTTTTTTTCTTTTTTGGAGAAGTTTTTGCTATAGGGTGCATGTACTTCCAAGAAAGACAGAGAGAGAGACAGAAAGCGAGAAATCACCCCCCAGGGGGGACGGCCATGATGCAATCCCTTCTCCCTCCTCTATTCTCCTCCCATGATCTTGGACACGCACACACACGCACCCAGTCTGAGTGTAAGCCACCCGGGACTCCAACCACGGTTGACTGCATGGGAGTTCAGCAGCATAGTCATTACGTCAACTGCTGGTCCCTCCGTATAGCATCTTAACTGAATAGGAAACAGGAGAACAGATTGCACTGAACAGAGATGCATCCGTCTTTAAGTCAGTTCTGTGAGCATATCTCAAAAAGTTCTCTTTCAGAGAGGGTAGGGCCTGATTTCAACTTACACTAATAATAGAAGACAAAAATGTCATGAACCCAATATAGCTACAGACTACAATTGACTAAAATCACTTTAAAAGAAAAAATAGTTGCCAGAGGGCGCATACCCTTGCCAGAGAGAGGCAGAGAGAAAGGGGAGAGAAAGCACCCCAAGCTGGGTGTGGTGGCACCTCAGTCCCTTCTCTTCCATGTCTCCAACCTATCAGGATTTTGAGCTTGCACGTTCACACGCCCAGCTTCTCAAG